AAAATGAATTTGGGTCAGTATGGTATTTTTTCTTTCCAAATTTGGTTGTATTTATGAATGTGAATCACTGAGAGATTGTATCAAAATCTGAAGTTGTTTCAATAGGTGTTAAAATACTGCTAGTTGCTAGAGTAATATATTTAGGACTATCAGTACTTTTAAAATATATGCTGTACGGTTACACTCCTTCATTTGAAAAGGAAGTCGGCCTGATGGCTGGTACTGTAATATATGATTAGTTTAGATTGTAAATTAGTATCTTTGTTTATTTAAAACACTTGTTTGTTCTATTTCCAGAAGCAATTGCTTTTAATTTTGCATTTTCCCAAAGTACTGAACTATAATATTCCTTTGACTAGGAACAAAAAATATTCAAGATAGCATGAAAGCCAGAAACAGATAACTCAGACAGTGTAAGATGAAAAGTCTGTAGCAACAAAAAGATCTTCAGATGGTAAAATCTCACCAGAGAGGAGACAGGGGCTTTCAATGGGCAAAGCTTCCTTTGAACTCTATTCAAAGCTATGGGTGGTTCTCAAAAGAGAATTATTTCTGCCACTACTCTACTTCATTCATGGAATTTTAGGGAGAACCAGATGTTGTTATCTGCTATTGTAATTTGCTTCTTTCATCTTTTCATAGAAAACTGTTAAGGTGGGGGAAAAAAGTCTTACAAAGATTCTTTGTGAATATACCATGAAGAACCCTTTTCTATGTTCCTATCAACTGTATTTGAAATGTCTATAAAATGTATAAAGTCTTCTCCTTTGTTATTCATGAAGAAATGTGCTTATGTGGAAGGAATAAAGATTTCAAAGGCATAAATATGATAAATTCATAATTGATTTGGGCTCAAATAAAAATAGAATCAATAAAAGAGGAATATTACCTAAAATCATTTCCAGTCAAAATATTTCAGTATTTTGAAACAATTTCTAAACATAGACATTTGAGAGAAATTTAAGGTAATAAAAACATGAGACTGTTGTTTTAACACACTGTTTTACACAAGATTTATATCAAGTGAATAGATGCCATCTTGATTCCCTTTAATGTAGCCATTGTAACCAGGAAGCAAAACCAAGGTAATGTCTGCATTAAGAGGATATGTTCTGCACAGTGAGTCTGAATCCTTGCATAAAATGTGGCTCCTCAGGAATTAAAAATAGCATTCACATGCTCTTTTTACCTAGGGCAGTGATGGTGAACCTTTTAGAGACCCAGTGCCCAAACTGCAACCCAAAACCCACTTATTTATCACCGGGTGCAGGTGGGCGGGGCCGCCGTGGTCATGGCAGACTGGGTGGGCGGGGCCAGGGCGGCAGGGGCCAGTCCCTCGCCATCTCCGGGGCTCGGCACATGTGCCCACAGAGAGGGCTCTGAGTGCCACCTCTGGCACCCGTGCCATAGGTTCGCCACCACTGACCTAGGGGTTTATCTCAGCAGGTTATGCAAACGTTACAGTAATTCTTATGTAAAATTAGTATGTCTAATCATGGCTAGATTTGCATTTCCCACATAATTTGAATGCTCTATACAGTTGTAACAATTCTCTGAAATGTACTAATTGCTAAATACAGGATCTATTTGCATTAAAAGAGATTTAAAATATACTATCTACTTAATTATTTAATTTTTAGTTGATTTAATATTGTGTATTTCACACTAAACTATTATGAGACTAATGTATACATCTTATGGTAATAAAAATATAAATAACATGGACACTGTTAGTATATAAACTCTATTTAGCTGCAGTATCTGTATAGGTATACAGAAGCAAAGTTATGACCTGAACTGTTCTCAAACTCTGTTGGACAGGGATTAACTAATTCTTAATTAGTTTTGTACTTGACATATTTTCAGGTTTTGCATGTATTGGTAATAGGTTTCTTTTTCCCGCAGAAATTAACTTGTATGGGAAAAGATCAGAAAGACGGGTAGACTTAGCATCCTTATTTTCATGATAACAAATACTGTAACTGGCATGATGTCTAGACTGAATCAGTGTCTGATTTCATGAAATGAATTATTAAGTTAAGCTTTAATAAGAGATTCCCTAGTTCATACCTTGGAATCTTAGTCATTATGCTTCATTACTGCTTTGTTCTCTCTGTAGCTGCACATTATGATATGTATGTTGTGTTTCAATTTTTGTCAGTGCCTTAGTAGTTTTTTTATTTTATTTTTGAGGAACACTAAGTATTTGTGTACCTTAACTCTTTGAACAACTGCAACAGAAACATTTCTAGCTAAAATATCATTAACGGGTTTTGTACAGTTCAGTAGGATTAGCCAATCTGAGTTACAAGAGCTTGTTGTTAGATGGCAACAAAAAGATATAGGCGGCTCTTTGCTGTTATCTAGCATTTGTCTGGATTTTTTCAGCCTACATCTGGCATCCTTACAATTTAGTATTTTGTTATATTCATACTAAACAGAGATCCTGTAGTGAAATGTACTTTACATGACTATATGCTTATAGAAAAAAATAAACATTTGTGAGGCTGTAAAATTTTTGACTGGGAGATTCCTTATGAAATAAAATGCTAGCATATTTCTTTTTAGATACTGCACATTGTGTTCATTATTCTTATAATTATTTTTATAAGGGAATATATCATAAATAATCACATTCTCTGTAATTGAATTTAATTAAATGTAAGCTTTGTCCTAACCCTGCCCACTTTTTCTGACTTCATTCATTTACTGAACTGCAGTCTCTGGCATGCGTCCCATAGGACTGTAATGCAACATTCATCGAAAAATATAAACTTAACCTTTTGAACTAGCAACATTGTGGGGGGTCTACATTTTATGTCTGATCTTTTGTAAGAGCACCTTTAGGATTCAAGTATGATGCATTTTAATTGTATTGGCTTACAAAAGTGCTGATCACCTTGTAATCATTAGTCATTTTTATTTCGGTCATTGAGCAGCAAAACAAATCCTTGAGGAAAGAAGTAAAATTGTAAGTTTAAGAATTATGGGTATAAACATTAATATAGTGAGGCATTATACAATTTATATAAGGCAATTAATTGATTATTTAGAATAATAAAATAATTTACTGACCTGAAATGTAGAACCATTATAATGCCAAAATCCATGGGAAAGATGTAATTAATATTAATATTCTATCTACAGAAAATACAGTGATGATGTGTATAAGGAAAAATAATACATAAGGAGTGATTATGGTTTCAAAACTAAAAATTAGAGGCCAATTATACTGACTATTTATATTGTTAAAAAGTCTCTGGCAATCATAACGAAAACAAGATAGAAATAAGAATCAATTGATAGTAAGGACAAAATACATTATTATAAAGTAGTGACTAAATGGACAGCTGCATTTGAAATGTTTTCAAACGGAAAATACCTAGGAGGTGTTTGAAGAAAAATTATGGTATATTATACAAACTATGAAACAGTAGTTCATAGTCATCAAAATAGAATCAGATTGAGCTGATTCTACAATTTGAGGTAGAAGGACTTAGTGTGACCAGGTTGTTTGATGATGAGTGAAAATAATAATTCTTGGTGAGCATCAGCATAGAGAGAGCAGTACAATATAACACGATCCAGTATTTCAGTTGCATGTTCACTACATGGGCACAATCTCAGCTCAAAAGGGATGTTCTGGTATTTATTTATTAAGTTTATATGCTTACTCAGAAGTGACCAATATGATTGTAGCTCTAAATCAATGGCACTTTGTTCAAGATTGGGTAATGCATGTTTGTAGCCCTATAGATGATGGATGCACATGGGAAGCCATAGGATTTTAATTTTTCATGTATTTCCTGCCAGGGAAATTGGGAGCTATCAGTCATAATTAAAGGGATCAAGCTGGCTGGAAAAAAAAGAAGCTTAAGACAATATGAAAGAATGTGAATCCAGGTGGAAGTTTCTATTTTGAGTAGGCTACAATGAAATGCAGTGGAGGACTTAGAAGACCTCAGGAACCTAGAGTAACTCTTTTGAGGAGAGTAATGTAATGGCCCAACTGGTCTCCCAAGAGGAACTGAGCTCAGATCTTTGGCTGAGAAAGCTTTGAGCGCTATGGATATGTGCTGAATTCCTTCAAGGAAATAGAAGGATTATAAAGCTGAAGCTGTTTTCTCTATGTTTAAGATGACATAATTGGTATAGGATTTGTAGTTGCTGGTGGCATGAAAAAATGACGCCTAGGTATTTGAAGGTCTTGATTGTTCTGTTTAGCCATCAGATATGTGTCTTAGGTCTCTTGGCAAATAGCATGACCTTGGTTTTTGAGCAGTTAATTTTTAGCAGCTTTTCATAGTACTTAGGAAGTGTATAAAGTGCTTGCTTAGGCCAATGTGCCTGTTTTGATAGATGGAGAGATTGATTGTTCAATTTGTTTATGAATAGAATAAAAAGGAAGGGAACTAGAGTGCACCCTTGTCTCACACCTCATTTGGCTTACCATTTTGAAAATTTGAGTAGCAATATTTTCCTTTGTATTTGCTTTGTTGCCCTACTCTATGATTGTTGGTGTAGTTTTTTTTTGGAAAAAGGAAACAAGCTAATGTGTTATGGTAATGAACAAAAATGTTATATTTCTAACGTACAGCAAATTCATTGTTCTCAGTTAAGGTTTCTGCTTGTAATATGGAGCTAGTACTGAAATACTAGATGTAGGTCAAGAATTGTTGATGCATGTAAAACAGTGCATTCAGAAACATCCTGGTGTTTATTTTTTATGACTTTTCTTAAATCTTTCTACAAAATGTGTGAGATTTTATTCTTTTGCAGAACCTTTTTATTTTAAATATCCTTTAGAACACACAAAGGACAAAAAACTGTTAGTTGCCCTCACATTCATAATCAGATATATTAAGGTATTTTGTTTCTGCAACTTAATTACTATTGAAATTTGCTGTCTATCTTTCAGTTCAACATTGCGAAATTGGAAAATAACTTAGTTAAAATAAGATTAAGAAGGTTTCTTTTTTGGCCATAATTTTATTAGCCTGGTTTCATATACAGCTGTTTTGTTTCTATAGACTCTGCTTAAATGGAAGCCACTTCTGGGAACTTGATGGTCTCTACTGACATAGGCTTTGCGTAGCAGCTGTGCCACCCCAGAGATTGCAATGAGTGGAGGAGGGGAACAGCCAGATATTCTTACTGTGGGGATATTGGTAAAAGAAAGATGGAAAGTGGTAAGTATGAAATAGTTTTATTGATTTTTTTCAGATGTCTGATTTTATATAACATTCAATCAAATAAGAAGAAATCAAAATGTTATGTATATAATTTAAGAGAGCAGACGTAGCTATAAACTGCGAGACGGGAGAAGATTGTGCATCACATCTTTCTTAAATACGGTCTTGAGCAGCATGATAATAATGGCTTACCTAATATGATGGCTGCAAAGCAATAATGAAAAGATGATAATTTTATCGATGTTTTTCAGGAACAGATTCCTATATGTTACAGCTGGTTAGCTGCATTATCAGTCAGCATTCTGCCCCTGCTCTTTTCCTGGGTTCTAGCGTAATTGAAAACTTCACTATTCCTCCTTTTCTATTATCCTTACGTGGTATTTTAAAAAAGCTCTGCATAACGATAGCTCTACCTTTATTAGGCTACAGTAGTTTGGTGCAATTTTCCAAGCATTCTTTGCTAGTCCAAGTTAACCTCTTTTCCCCTTTTATGTTTGGATTAACTGTCTGAACCCAATCTCCTTGATGTTTGTAGAGGTTTCTTGGGTTTTTTTTTTAGTTAATGTACATACATAATTTCTCCCTCTCCCCTTCCCTTCTTCTCCCCCTCCCTCTCTCTCCCTCCCGCTTTCTCTCTTTGTCTCTGTCACATGCATGTACACTCATTCATAGGAGGAAGCTGAAAAATCCAGTAGGGGATAAATGAGTGCAGAGAAATTAAGGGAAGAAGGAGGAGCATGTATTTTACTGAATGGATCTGGGTGTATCTGAGTGAGATAGGAATATTTAGAGGGAAAGGTGCAGTAGGTATTTTTGAGAGAAAATGATGGGTGCTTGTGGTCCTGTTTGGGTAAGAGATTTTTTTTTATGTGTGATAGAAAATGATTTCAAATGTATCTACACAACAGGCTATTCTCTTTTAGAGTAAGTAGTGTTATACAAAGCGTAGAAAAGGAGTAAGAAATTATAAACCAAATAAAGGCATTAGGTAAAAGAAGATATAGTATATAGGTAACTCTAGTTTATACCAACTTTTTTCGCTAATCCTCTCCTTATTTTTCTATTTTTAACTCTACCATTTCCACACATTTCCATGTATTGCTTTTTATTTCTCTCCTTTATTTTAGCATTTTGTGGTATAATAAGACATGAGAATAGGGTGGCATATCCAGAACAGCCCAAACAAGATTTTTCTGCACTACAATCAGGAGGCAGAGAGAGGGACGAGAAATATCTGCCAGAAGAATATTTTAGTAATTAGCAATGACACAGCTAAAGTATATTCAATAAAATGCAGTATCTTCTGTCAGAACTCCTGGATCCTACACATATTCATCAAATGAAAATTACTTATTCTCAGTGTAAAATTAATAAGTGGAAGAATGTCAAGTCATCATCAGAGTCTAAGACTGAATGAAGGGAACTGAGGTAGTTTGGGAGCCCTGAGGAAAAACAGCTGACGATACAGTTGCTGTTGGAAAGGACAAAAGAGCCAAAACATAATGATGTGCATCTTGGTTATATTCAGTCTAAGGTAATGGGAAGACATCCAACATAAAACAATTACAAGACAGTCTGTCATGGCTGACTATGCATAGTTATCAAGGGTCACAAAAGATTGATAGACTTAGTATAAACATCATAATAATGATAATAAAAGACTTGAATATGAATCTGAATACTCAAGGGAAGAGTATGAAGGATGAACAAAATAAGTTCTATCTCTGAGGGATAAATGTAATAAGGAGAAATTCCCAAGACTAAAAATCTACTGTGCAACATTGCAAAACAATGAAAAGGGGGAAAAAAGTACCCAGTCAGTGATATCCAGGGATCATAATGTCAGTAGCTGTTTCTAAATGGTCAAGTGTATTAAATACTGCTGTCAGCTCAAAAAAAAAAAAAAAAAAGACTGGTACCAACGTAAGGGATTGATCCTTTGGCATTGGCACCAAAATATGTGCTATCTCAGTTGAATGGCCAGTAACTTGATCACAAAGAGAGGTCCTAGGAAAGCTTGAACTTTGCTTGGTTTTTTTATCAACTTTCCCCTCTCGGTCAAGACATCCACAGCAACTTTGACCCATCCTGATGATCTTTCCCTTTGTGCTGGTAAATAATGAAACCATTCTTCCAATTGTCAGGCATGAATATAGTCTTGACATAGACTCTGAAGAAATCATGCAGCTGCACCATAAACAAACCACATCTGTTTTAACATTTCGTTGGTTATCCAATGAAATGTTAAATCTATCTACATCTGCAAAATTCTTAACAGCATGTGTGATTTTCTTGTTGCCATCTCTTCTTGAACATTAACATTTAGTGCATTTATTTCAATTCAGTTATTTGATATCACTATAAATTTCTATTCATGTCTCTAAAATACTCCTTCCAATATTCCCTTCATTTAGGTTCCTCCCAAATAATTTCATCACTTTTATTTTTAATTGCATTAATTCTGCTAGCGGCTTAATGTTATCCTTTTTCACCCAGTCCCCAAATATTTTTTACTGTTTCTTTAAAATAAAATAATTCTGTATTTTCTTTGCCACTTTCAGCTTTAGCCACCAAAATAGAAGCTACAAGGAAATGGTTAATTTGATCTCATTTAGCTAAATTAACTGGTTTACTTTTTTATACTGTTTACTGGCCAGACCGTATATGGTCTGTGATATGTGATACATGATATTGCCCTGTGTAGCGCGTCTGGGCTGTATACATTAGCCTTATAAAAGAGATATCTTACACAGTACCTCACGCTTAAAACAGTAAAAAAGTGAATAAGAAAGATGGTTCCGTACCCCCAAAAGAAGGATTAAAGAGTTAGAAAGCAGAGAAGATTCACTACCAGCTTCATAGAAGCAAGTATATGATCTGACTCTAGCTCAAAGGATTATCATGCCAAAAGCAGCCTGCAACTGAAGACCTCATGACAGTGGAAGACTGAGAGTACCACTCTCCAAAAATACCAAAGTACAACAGAGAACCTCTGCAAGTAGCAGAGCTGGCTTCAAGCTGTCTACATCAGATGGCACCAGCTGTTTAGACTCTTTGATGGCTACCTTCTTTCCTGATGAATTAGGCATTGGGTAGTCCCAATTGCAACAACCATCTAGTAGCTAGATCACCACCAGATTGTTCAACAGCAACTATCCTCTACTGGCCAGTGTCATTGCAGAGGTTGAAAGGCAGTGGGAGTGCACTCAAGACCACGATGCAACAAGCACAGAAACTGAATCTCCTCTCTTAGTATGGCAATTGGAGAACTGAGAACCACCAAATTGGTTGGTATGCCAGTCAAACTCCTTCAAGTACATTAGCACCAACTCTTCAGGATGGAGTGACTGACAGCGGAAACTATCATACCAGTTGGTTTATCAGAAGTTTGCTTATACGAAGCAATCAGGCCTTCCCATCACAGATTCCTCAGATTTATGTACAGGAAGAACTTGTTCCAGTTCAAAGCAATTGACTTTGGTCTGGCCTCAGCAATCACAGTATTTACTAAGGTGATGGGTGCCTTGTGGATATATGCTTAGCTGTATGACCTAATTATCAGAGCACCCAGTATAAAAAGAATAATGAGCACCCACGGTCTGCTGCTTAGGTGCCTCTAGGTGCATGGTTTTGAAGTGAATTCTGCCAAGAGCTTGCTCATTCTTTCAGAGCAGATCCAGATCACCAGCAGAAACTAGTTGCATATAATGATTCCAAGTATAGAAAATGAATTTTCCTCATGGTAGTTAATCCCATCCAATTTGGTACTCTGAATTTCAGCGAGAGGAATAATTTGACAATATAGGGTGGAAACTCCCTTGCCAAAATATTCTGTACCAGAACTGCAGTCTCATAAGGAGTTATCATTCCTTATTAACCAAATGGAGCTGAGGACAAATGCCTAGCTTTGACTAATGACATTGGTAGAGAAATATCTGTTTCCCTTTTCAATAGAGTATATAACAGGATTGCTGAGCACCATAGCCAAATGGACAAATTTTCAGTACTTTTCACAGGATTGCAGCAAGATGGGGTTCTCCCTTAGCCAGCCAACCTGATAGCAGTAGATGGTAATAGGCAAGTAATCTGCTTTTCCCCCCTCCCCAATTTAAAGATCCCAGAGCAGAGAATTCTACAGCCAATATAGTTTATTTAAATCAAACATATTTACATATTTTTATGTTTTAAAGATTTTATGAAAGTTTAGTATGGTATAAAATGCAAATGAAGAAAGTGGAAAATGGAAATAAAGATAAAAGAAAGGGGAAAGGAATGCAAGGTAGAAAGAAAAAGAAAAGCAGCGACTTCTGACTCTCTTTGATGTAGTGGAATACAAAGTACAGTTGCAAGCTCAGCTTTTTGCTTTATATTTCTAGTAGATAGAAACCATTTCTATAACTACAAAAATAATTTAGTCATCAACATCTAAGATCAGAGTTTCATCTTTTTTCTATTTTGAGCATAAAGTCCAGAAGCAGTTTCCATATAGAAACAAACCTGGGTAATTAACTCCTTATCTTTCATTAAACAGGTAGCTTTGCCCATCTCAATCGATTCCATTCCTTTTTCCATCCATTCTCTTTCTATTTTTTCGCATAGAAAATTCTTGCTACTGTCTACATATATAATAACAAAATTCCAACAATGTTCTTTATCCAATAGCTCTAAAAGGAAAAGTTCATGTTTCATTTTTTTTGTTTATTTTAAGAATTTTCTGAATTAAGACAAAAATCTACCCAAATATTTATTTGCTTTGTCACAAGTCCAACAACGATGATAGAAAGTACAGGTAGTCCTCGACTTAAAACAGTTTGTTTAGTGACCGTTCAAAATTGCAACAGCACTGAAAAATGTGACTTACAACTATTTTTCACAGTTATAACCTTTGCAGCATTCCCATGGTCATGTGATCAAAATTCAGATGCTTGGCAACTGGTTCATATTTATCACCATTGCTGTGTCTCAGGGTCATGTGATCACCTTTTGCAACTTTCTGACAAGCAAAGTCAATGGGGAAGCCAGATTCACTTAACAACCATGTTACTAACTTATCAACTGCAATGATCCACTTAACAACTGTGGCTAGAAAGGTCGTAAAATGGGGCAAAACTCTCTTAATACATGTCTCACTTAACAACAGAAATTTTGGGCTCCATTGTGGTCATACGTTGAGGGCTACCTGACCTTCTTTACATTTACAACAAACATTTGAGACACCTTTATACATCATATTAAATAAAAGAAATTTAATAAATCAATAAAACATATTTTTCTTAATGATTTTTGAATTTAGTTGATCAGATGGAATAGTTCTAATCTGTTAATGAACTAAAGTCCTTTAAAAAGTTACATGTAGTTTTATATTAATTTTTGTATTAATTAGTTTAATGCTATTGTTTCTTCTAAAAAAAATTCAGAGGTATTACATGTTCTTGAAAGTAAAAAGCGGCATTTTAGAAAAGATATTCTTGTTTCTATGGTATGAAAGCTGTTTCTAGAATTATACCTTTTGCAATTGGTGCCCAGTTATTTAACAATCAAGAAAAATCAATCTTTTGCATTTGATTATGAAATAGGAAACTATATTTCCAATGTATAATTGGCTAAGATTTATTTTAAAAGGATGATAATCTTATTTTAGTACATTTTTCTACTAGTCTTACTACTTTGCATAATTCTAGCTTTGTAACTGATGGGGAACATGAAAATTCTGGATGTTAGTATCTTGATTGTAACAATGCTATCGGGGAGCTTTTTCTGAAACAATTATTTTAGAATTTCTATCATTTTACCTAATTTACTTCTCAGCCATAATAAAAAATATAAGTTTATATAATATAGCAGTAGAGTTTAAATACCTTTAATAATTAGATAATATTCAAAATTGACATTAGGTAACACATAAACTCTGTAATTTTTAAATAATGCACTAGATTGAATAGTCTTATTTATTACAGATAAAGAAGATTGGAGGTGGAGGATTTGGAGAAATTTACGATGCAATGGACATACTTACTCGAGAGAACGTTGCACTGAAGGTCGAGTCAGCACAGCAGCCAAAGCAAGTTCTGAAAATGGAAGTAGCTGTGTTGAAAAAACTGCAAGGTAAAGTGAATAAAGATCCTTATACTGTGGTTGCTAAGCCTCTAATACACGTTGCTAATGTGTAGCAATTGTCCTACCATTCTGAAAGTTCTGAGAGTCAGAACGATGGGACAATCTTGAAAAATCAGGAAAAGCTCTGAGAATGAATAAGATATTCATTGATCAGGTTGGCAGCCAAATTTAACAAATAGCTTGTCCGAATGCAGTTCTGGGTCCATCAGAAAGTTTATTGAGTTCAGTAACGCTTAATTACAGATCAGTATGTTAAGGATTGTAACTTTAATCACATGTTGAGGTTAAAATAGGAAACTTAAATTTACATTGACCTTAATAATGACTTAAATGGCTTGGTTTATATCAGGGGTCTTCAAACTTGGCCCTTTTATGACTTGTGGACTTCAACTCCCAGAATTCCTCAGCCAGGCATGCTGGCTGAGGAATTCTGGGAGTTGAAGTCCACAAGTCATAAAAGGGCCAAGTTCGAAGACCCCTGGTTTATATGCATGAACAATGAAATTTGATAGCATTCATGTTTTAACAATCTTTATATTTAGGGATTGTGAATGCAGAATGAGCTTATTTTGAGTTTTGCAGGTAACTATAGGAAACTAGGTGTTGTTTAAAATCTTGGAAAAACAAGTGCATTCTTACTTACTCTTGTCCTCAATCTTCCTTTCAGCTGCTTTTCCCCCCTGGTAATCCCCTTGTGCTTTAATCATCATAGGCTCCACTTTATGTCACATTTCCATAAAATTTGGAAACACAGTGGGAACACAGGGAACCCCTTATTCTTGGCTCTTCTATCTACTTTTAATATACAAATAGTTTTAGCAGGTGGTAGCACCTGGCTGGCCTTGCCAGAACCCAGAAACTGGGTCAAACCTTGTTAATTCTTGAATGGAAGGAAATAGGATTAGGAAGGAAACCTGCAGGAAATAGTATAGCTGTAGGTTTAATGGGAGGTGAAAGAAGCCAAATGTCAAACCAAACAACATGAAGAGTTAAGTTTGACAGATGTTTTATCTTTATATTGTAAATACTTTCTTTTACTCTGTTTATAGCCTGCTATCTACATTTATGTGAGTGAGAAAGAGACACATTGGCTTTAATGCTGGATTTGAACATTTGATAATTTGATGTCTTCTGCATACTTTAAGACTTTATGTGTAAAGAAATAAAATGTTAGTACAGATCTTGAGTACACCCCAGCATTTGCTTTTTTATTATGGGAAAAATGTTTTTTAAATCTTCCATAAATTAATCTGGTGTCTGGTTGTTTATTTTAGGTTTTTTGTAAGAGAGCATTGAAAGCTTTTAGGCCTTTAAATTGTGCCAGATTGCTTCTATTATAGAACTGATGACTTAGCTGTGTTGGATATTCCATTCCAAATTCTTAAAACTGGATGGAGGAAAATGGTAGGGATGAACTCATAATTCTCCAGCTTCTTCTCCATCTGTCCATCTTCTATGATACAAATATCTGTAAAAGAGAACTTGCAATGTGCTTAGCAACTAGGGAGCCTGACCAGCAGGGTATGGTCACAAAGATAGGTTTGGCAAGTGAGAGTTTACCTGTCTATTACTGCATTGAAGAAAATATTCCAATAAAACAACTATTCAAAGAAATGGAAAAAGAAATCAGAGTCCAGAATTATTCTTTCTCAGCAAGACTTGGACTTGTATGTTGTAGTAAGAAGTTTTGATGCTGTCCATAATTTTAATGGGCATGAAAGGATAGAATTTTTTGAGTTTTCTTATTGGCTGGACTCACTATCTTGTTCTTTAGCTGCTTCTTATTTGTTTTGTTGATTTGCTTTTGAATTATTATATTTTATCTTTTGGTTAAATCTTGAGTTGCCCAGAGTCATTTGGAGTTGAGTGGCACCTAAATGAAATAAATTTAAATTAAATTAAAATATTGATGATATATTATCTACTTTGTAATACGTTTTGCTCAACATTTGCATATTTTTTATGCAGTATCTTATTATCCATTTATGACACTTTTGTTTGCATCTGCTAGATATAGAATTTTACAAGTTATACCTAAATATCAAGCAACTAGATATAAGCTTCAAATTCTTCCTTTAGTTTTCAATTAACCTTCTTGATTTAATTGCTTCAAAATTTAAGCTATATGTGTTCCCTTACCCAGAATATTTAGTTCTGATCTTCATTCTGATTCTGACTTCAATTCACTTTGACTCTTTTTAGGATATCTTGCTAGTTTTCATCTACAGGCATTTAAAGCCACAGGATTAGATTTTGATATAGTTGTAATTCCCTTACTGTTTCAGAAAATTAATATACTGTTATTATTTGTCTATTTTTCATATAGAAAGTGGAGTATTTTGCAGTGTTATGGATAAAAAACGATAAAAAACAACACTGCTTCCAAACCAGTTTTAGTTCATTCAGTGGAATAAACAAAGTTCATATTCTTCATTGTTGGGTTTATTTGTGCATATTTCAAAATCGTTCAACATAAAAGGTAGTTTTTATCATTCTTATATCGGTTTTTTGAGAATGTTTCCAGAATTTAAGAGTGAAATGTTTTGCTCTCATATGTTCTCATTTGGAATCATTGATGTTTGTAAGTTCTTACAAGAAGTGTCTGCAGACACCTTGACAAGAGAAGTCGTTTGTTAATCCCTGCAGCCATTTGGTATTAGGCAGCATAGTTAGTGGCTGGTACAACTCCGTCTTTTCCAATCATTTTGTAACTCTCCCAAAGATGCTTTTTCACAAGGCAATTGGACTTTGTTGTGTTTTTTTTCAAAGACATTTTGCTTCTCATCCAAGAAGCTTCTTCAGCTTTAACTGGATGGTGGGGAATGGAAGGATTTATACTCCTTGCAGACAGCTGGTCATTTGCATTCTTTTAGAGAGTCATTGAGGTCACCTGGAGGTTTATCTGTGTTGTCAGGGTCACCTGAGTAATGCAAATGGGTGTGCAGCCTTCTTGGAACTGCTGAAAAGATTGTGTTGTAGACTGAAGATGGATGCTGTCGTATCCTTCCCCCTCTGTTGAGAGAGGGCTGTTCAGTTTTGACATAGACGGCTTCTTTGACCCTTCTTTCAAACCAGCAGTCTTCTCTGTCCAAAATGTGGACTTTGCTGTCTTCAAAAGAGTGGCCCTTATCTTTTAAATTCAGATGAACTGCTGAATCTTGTCCTGATGGGTTTGTTCTGCTATGTTGTGCCATGTATTTATGAAGTGGTTGTTTTGTTTCCCCAATGTACAGATCTGCACATGGCTCACTGCATTGTACTGCATATACCACGTTGCTCAGTTTGTGTCTGTTTGCTCAGGCTGGTGTGCATGCACATAGGCAGCTCAACTCTCACAAGTGGCAAGCTGACATGCATGCGCATGGGCAACTCAATTTGCAGTCGAGCTGTGTGCGCGCATGTGCATGCACGCCTGCTCACGTGAGTCAAGCTGAGCATATGTGCACTTCGGCCCACCACTCATGTGGCTCATTCCCCTATTCCACACCCCCCAGCCAGTCCGCCAAGCCGCAAAGGTTGGAGACCGTTGCTTTAGGTAGTCATGCAAAATTCAGTGTTAACTTGCATTTTTTGTAAATCTATTGCATTTTAATAATGTGATTTTCACATACTAAATTTTGGGAGAAATGGGGCATGGGATTCAACATAGAAAAGATACCAGCTCTAGTGTTCACATTTTGGTTACATGAATAACTGAATATCCTCAAAATAAGTTTTTTGGCAGCCTAGTTTTGGCAATATATTCTCATGCTGTTCAGAAGCTCCATGTAGCCTCTAGCTCACAGGCTTCCTATTATAAAGCATGTAATGAGAAAAGAGTGGAAAATATTTATCTTATGTTTTATAGTTAAGTTATACCTAGAATATTTAAAGCAGATGTGTGGATTATGTCCATTCCAATATCTATAACTATTACATTGTACCTCTCAAGGACTATAAAAAGATACATAAAATGATAAGATGAGGCAGGGAAGAGTCAGAGGAAATGTTAGCCAAGTATGTCAAAACGCTTCTTTGGGGGAGGGTGTCTTCCCCACGGCCTTGAAAGAGGCGGTGGTGAGGCCCCTCCTTAAGAAGCCTTCCCTGGACCCAGATGTATTAGCTAACTATCGTCCGGTCTCCAACCTTCGCTTTGTGGCGAAGGTTGTTGAGAGTGTGGTTGCGCAGCAGTTCCCCCGACACCTGGAGGAAACAGTCTATCTA